TTTTATACCAATAATTATATGAAAGATTTCAGAGCAACTATGATAATGAAAATGCACCGGAACACTCTTCTGTCCTTTTTTATTGTTAACTTCATTTGATTAAATAGCTAGCCTCACCTTTTGATGTCAATTCAGACAAAAAGTTTGAAACAAATGCTTAGAGAGAAGGAACAAAGATTGGTAGTTGGAAGACAATAGATCTTAACGAAAACTGATACGCACAGTTGTCTCCATTGGACAAGAAGAAAATTAGTTGAAAATGATAGACATACCCTAGTAGACCTCTGCCTTCCCAAATCCTTGGTGTCACTGTTAAATTGATCAGTGAACCTTGCCTCATGACAACAACAGAGACTCCCCTGCCTTGATTTGAATAGGCTTCAACAGCAAGCCTTTCCTGCAAATTCTCACCAGCTTCTACACTGCCAAATTTCACAATCTGATCTCCGAGTTGTAAACCATCTTCTGCTGCAGGGGATGTATTAGTTATTTCATCAACCATTGCAAAGGGCATGCGGTCAATCACATCCACGTCCATGGAACTGGAAGATTCGCTTAAAAAGTTATGTAAGGTCACATATAGAGAGCCATTGCCAGCTGCCATGTTTTGACTATTCAATCCTCCATCATTACCTGTACAATGAACAAACAAACATAGTCAATTTGTTGCATAAAAAATTGTCAGTTCAGTTTATTTCCAGAAAATATTTATAGCATCAGTTCGAGCACAGTCGTGATGTTCTTCTAACATGATGTCAACTCATCCACAGATCACAATAGATAGGCATCTGCACAACTCTCTCTCTCTAGCAAACATACAGACGGACAGGGTTAAAGTAGACAGCAATTACATCGACAAACTAAAAGAACGGCTTTTCTCCAGAAGGCAGAAGTAGAAAATGTGTGCCTTGAGCACAATGCCGGGCATATTTACTTGGACCACATAAGCAATTTTGTCATGCCATGTTATATCTTATCTAACCCAAAAATCAGCCAATCTCCTACTGCGGATGTTTCAGATCATTTTTCTCTAAAAAAAGTTCCAAATCATTTTTCATCCAGGACCAGGCAACAATTTTCCCAAAGAAGAGTCCATATTCTTTTCCATCTTAAAGTGAAACCATGGGCACGGTTGTTAAAGTTCAAAAGAAAGTTCTACTTAACAAGTTACAATCAGCGCTTCTTTACCTGACTGCAACTGCAAAAAGCATATTCGGCACCGTGCACAAATCAAGCAGCACATATCTCTAACAGGCCAAGCTTATATTGTCCAGGATATCCTTAAGGCAGCAACAAGTCATCTCGCTTCAAGGATGCGCTTGTCAAAGAGTTCATTCTTAGTTTCTAGGGGGAACGAGGTGTCGTCAGTTGAGTTAGTTAGAAATTTAAATGACTAGGAGATCCATGAGTACTCGAGGCTGTTGAAGTTATGTATGTGACACAAGCATATAGAGACGAGCCAATTTCAAAGCTGAATTCTGCATGTGTCTTCTTGGTGAAATCATTTTATTGGCATCTAAATAGGGAGATGGTGCCACAAGAAGATTTACCAGCCAACTTGATTTGAAAGGTTAGGACAACTCCGGGGGTGCTTTCTTCACCTTGGAAGTGGCAAGAGAAAGTTATTTGACTCTGGAAAAGTTGATTACACCAGAAAAATCATACAATCACATACTTCTGTGGGGTCCACATACTTGATAGGATTAGGGTGTTGACCTTGGGCGTGAGTTGAGTGATAGCAGGTTCACTAAAGGAGGAATTATGGGCTTAAAGAGGCATCCAAAGTGAAAAGAGATTAAGAGTTATGCATTTGGCTTCTTTTTGGCCTACTGAAAAGAGATTAATAATAGGGATTTTGAGGGGACATTCTAATTTTGATAAGTCCAAGGATTTTTAGTCTACCTGAGTTTTTTCTTCAGGGATTACCTACTTTGTTGTAGTGAGGATTTGGGTGATCAAAATGATATCCTGTTAGAATTGTAAATACTTTTTTGTATGGGTTTTGCACATATGTGTGTTTTTCTGAAAAAAAAATAACAACAACCTGTAAATGGACAAAGAGATTATATAAAAAATCCTTTACTCCCCCAACTTGCAGTCATACAATTTGTTCTGTCTCTTAACGGCAAAACCATAACCTAGGGTGGGAAAAAATATACTTATTAGTCCTTTTTCGTTCGACAGCTTCTGCGAATCAAATTAATTATGTGGACTACCCACAGTTTTGGCATAAACTCGAGAGAATCCAACTTCTTCGGTCGTATAAATTCAATTGCCTATCAATTTAAGGACATTTATTTATTAAAAAAAATCAACCCATACCTGGATCTCTGGATGTTGTAGAAAGCCTGGCAGAATGCAGAACTTGTATGTTTGCTTCTATCTTATCTGTTATCTCTTTATGATCATTCCGCAGCTCTGTGGATAGGGAATCAAGTTTGAGGAGAGTCAAGAAACAAAATTGTGGCTACAATGGAGCACATATAGCATTTACAAAAGCTACTTTGAAAAAATAGCATTTCTAAATGCTACTTTAAGAATATATAATTTATAAAAGTATGGCACCATCCAAGGGCCTGATAAGCATAAGTATGCACTGGATAAATTATTCTCATAACGTTTACTTTTTCCTCCCTTTTTTATATACGAAATGTTAGGTTTATATCGCGGTTGAAGCTTGAAAATAAACGCCTCCTCCTCTTCCCCAGGCATTACTAGGGAAAGGGAATTGAACTTGGAAGAACATGTGAACCTCTTTTGAACCAGGAAAACAAAATGAAACAAAATAAGCACCATCAAGAAATTCACATTGCTCTACTTCTACCATTTTCATTTTCCACTGTAACGAAAAAGACAGAAAATTTTGGTCACAGACAGGTTTACATCCATTACGAAATTCTAATGTTATGTTTGTATCCCCACCTATACAGAGAAGGATCACATCAGCACCTATAACAAACTCAAAACAGCTAATTTAAATTGAACATGAATTTAAACTGCTTATCTTCATTCAAATTCCTATTGTATTTCTATTGTCTTCCCATTCTTATTTCATAAAATTTAAATTTAAATCAAACTCAACCTAAGACAGCAAGACCATTGTTAGCGAGCACCTTCATCCCTTTCGCAACTGAGCTTAATGCATAAAAACCTATAAGCTATACAAAAGTTTTTTAAACAGTTTAGAGCGATTTCACTTCATTGTGTTGAACACCACAATACCCCACATTT